ATCACTATCACGAACATTTAAAGCAATAACCTATACACATATCCCACAGCTGGACAAAAGCCCCCTCTGCACAGAGGGTATTGAAGCATAGATCACCACGCGACCGCGTTGCAGATTGGCAGAACACCTTTTTGAATATACTTTCTTTACTTCGACATTTTCCATTTTTTTACTAACAAAAAAAAAACCGACTTCAAATATCTCGCTCTGTATTCATTTTATAATTGATTTATAGGAGCTCCCTAAGTATCTCCGGAGCCCAAGATCCAATACCATTGAAATTAATGTGGGTCCACATGGCAAACTGTCTTTCAAATCAATAAAAAAATAATTCAAAATTCTGAGGTAACAAAAACATACAAAAAATACAAGGTTGTCAACGCATCTGTAACCCTCGCGTGTGGCAGATGTCCATGGGCGGCGGTATTCACTTAACATCACATGAACCGTCTGCTCGTTTGGCAACCCTTCGCATAAAAAAACGGCAGAACCGTCGTGTTTGTCGTGCAGTGGCTAGTTAAAAGTTAAGAAGTTAAGGGTCACGCCCCAGCACTCCACTCGTGGGTGCAATTGACGCACGTAACAATTGGGCACGCTCTCGGCGACCGCCGTACACAGCCGCCGAATACGCTCGGCCGTCTTAGTAAATATACTGCTGGTCTTTCCATGGAATTTGCAGAAAAAAAGGACGAAAAGATATTCGCCGTTGTGGGAAGCGAACCCAAGTATCTCGGATTCGCGCCCAGACGCTTTACCACTAAGCTAAATGGCCGATTGCCACACCGACGGCAATCTCAACGTATTTTACCTATATGCGATGTTTTACGCATTCTTAAGCAATACTTGGCGCATCTATTGTTATTTCCTTTAGGTCAAAAAGTCTTTAGACAAAAAGGTCTATAAAGCCGGTAGAAACTTGACTTTGCACGAGCTCTGTTCCCAATGAAGCTTTAACACGAAAGCGGATCAATCATCGTACATCATCATCATGACGTACACGATTTCATTTAGTAACTAGGTTGTAAATAGTTTCAGGAACTTAATAGACAGAAAGACATAAATTTGTTAGTATTCGAAAAGTGAGAACACATAATATTAATATTGTGTACGCATAAAATATTTTGTGTAAGCCGTAAGACTGGACTAACTTATTTTATGCGTTAATTCTCGAAGTTCAGTCTTAAAAACTTACAAATAAGACTCCGATTTACAAATAAATATAAAAAATAATTAGCTTATTGACATCTCTGGTTGTGATTTTAAGCGGAAACTTCTATAATCTAATAAGACGCTAATCGGAATGGATTGTACAGTTTAGGAGACTTAAGAAATTTGGAAGACATTACTTAATATATTATAGTAGTATAGCTTTTTACTTTAATTAATAATCACTATTCAATGTTCAAATTAAGAAAAAAGATCAGAGATTTTATCTGAGTTTTTATACTTAATTTGAAATTAAAATGTTAACGGAAAGTTTTCACATTATCTGAGCGCTTATAACGTAAAACTTAATCAAACCGGCTTAAGGCAAGAAGTTGCACAAGAAAGTTGAGTAAAGTAAACAACATAATGAGGCGACTTGTGGCGGCAAACATAGGTCAACGCCGGCATAGTTAAATTTCTCCAACCTCGTCGTAAATTATTAAGTTTTATTATTACCTTATAAGAAATTTCTGTATGCGGTCGCGTCACCACGAAACATAAACACTAGGTTCCTTTCCGCTCTTAAAAAAAAAACAACTTCTTTATTCTTTTACACTGCACTGCAATTATACTCCACAGGACCGCGAACCGTGAACTTACAGACTTTACCGTTTAAATTTAAACTTTTATCTGTTACTCAAAACAGTTTAATGTCAATAAATTTTTAAAAGAAAATATTTCGTCACGGGCGAGCGTTTTCGTGCGAAGAACGAGACGAATGAAAACTAGTTTGGTTTGGTTACTAACATTACGACTTACGAGTAGAAGCTCCCGTCTTGCTCTGCATTCATGAAATTTATTTAACGTGCGAAAGGGATAGTATTATTTTCTCTCCTTGTCTTTTATAGGGACTCGATTCGATTGTTGTTCACAATGGTTCGTTGAATTGTTTAAGCATTCAATAATTCAATATTCTTATTGCGTTTCTTACGTTGGATACAGCACTGCTGTTACTAACGTAAAATATTATTAATATAAACCAAATAAAAAACATCGCGTTCATCGAATGATATTTACATACTTGTTGGGAACAAACTTTATTCTTACAGATTTCTTTTCTATTTTTACAGTCATATTTAAATTACTTGAAATGCTAAAAAAACAATGTAGATAAAGGACGTTGAGAATTTTGTTGGTGTCCCGTAGACGTAGATTCGATTCACAGCGCGAGAAACTTTTCGTTCCTTTTTTTCTAAAAAAATTAAGACATATTTACTTGCCTTGAAATTTCAGAAGTTTCGCTCTGACCATACTCACCATACAAAACTAATTCATCTTTCCAGGATACCTAAAACTCAACATTTTCCTCTTGGCGATAGAATGAATTTCATCCCATCCTAACCTTGGCAAAGACTCAAGAAAAAAAAAAACAACTTAATTGGTAGTCTTAGATCTAGTCAACGTTTTTAATTAGGGTTCCGTATTCAAAGGGTAAAATTACCCTATTACTAAGACTCTTTCTGTCTGTCCGTCTGTCACCAGGCTGTATTTCACGAACCGCGATAGTTAAACAGTTGAAATTTCCACGGATGATGTATTTCTGTTGCCGCTATAACAACAAATACTAAAGAACAGAATAAAATAAAAAATATTTAAGGGGACTCCCATACAACAAACGCGAGGCGGTTGCTAGGCAACCTATAGACTTACCAATTACTTTATTATAAAAAACTAGACTACGTCTGCGTAGAATAGGCTGACGGCGTAACATTCAGACAGAAAGAGAGATATACATAAAATATGTGTATAAATTATAGCCTATGTTTTATTCTAATGTATAAGCTATATTGTAAAGTTTCATTAAAATCCATTCGATAGTATTTGCGTGAAAGAATAACAAACATCCATATACAATATACAAACTTTCGCGTTTATAATATTAGTAAGAAATGAGATGGTACCAGAACCCTTCGTTCGCGAGTCTGACTCGAACATGGCTGATTTTTATTATAAACTTTGTGTTACAGTGAAAAGGAAATATTTTACACAGAAGAATATTAATCACAAAATTATTAAAATACTAAGTAAAACAAGTAACCATTCTTAACTGATGTCTTTGATTGATTGATTGAATTGATTGAATATACTTTATTGCACACAAGGAAATACAAGGAATAAAATATCGGAAAGATAGTGTACATACAGGCGGCCTTATTGCTAAGGTAGCAATTTCTTCCAGGCAACCTTAGGGTATGGGATTATATAATAAAGTTGCGGGATAATAGTGCAAAAATAATTACATTAATATATAATGTAGAAAAAAAAATCATCGAATATAATACATATCTATATAATTACAAATACCTAGTACTTAACAAATAACATATATATATATATATATATATATATATATATATATATAAACACATACATATATGAATATAAACAAATACTTAATAAGTGTGGAAGTAGGAAAAAAAAAAACCGACAACCAAAGCTCAGAGGAAAAAGTAACGTTGGGATGAAATTAAACAGGAAGGGAAAGGAGATGGGCTTTCAGGTGCTTCTTAAAAGTGTAAAGGGACGGGGCTTGCTTTCTTTGATCAGAAAACAAAGCAAGAACCTTACCTACTTTTAGTCAGACGAGCTCGTGTTTGAAAAATCATAATTTTTATTACATACTTAAGGTAATATAAAAGATTGTTTATAAACTGAGACGCCATCGGTACGTACGTTATAGTGACTAGTGTAAACATATTTTCTTCTTTGAACCTTTCCAGAGCAACAGGTGCCTAATAAACAGTCTTATAGTACATAATTTCTTAACAAAATTATGTAATTATTATTTCTCTAAATAATATTGTGTTACAAACTTGATGAAGCTGAGGGATATTTCTGCTTCAATAAAAGTGTCTACTTATTTGCTTACATTGCTATTCTGAATTAAAAATTTAGGCATAAGCACCCATATAAATTTAAGGAAAAATATTTTTTACCTAATTAGGAGTTGGGACTCACTCAGAGTCATACAAGAATTTAAGTGTAGAAACTTCTAGAAAGGCTCAAGTAAAAAATATCTGTAGCGTACAATTTGATATCCTGGCTATCCTATCGTGCCGCCCAAGATCGTGGGTTCGAATTGTGCTCGATACTGCTCAAGACGAGTATAAGTGTGACCATTGTGTTCTAATTGTTCCAGTACTGGGTGTTTGTCCGTTTGAAACTTGTCATGTTATACATATCCTTATAATTGAGGCTAATTTGAGTGCTATTTGTTTGTGTTAGTATCTCAGATATCCAGGTACAAATAAATATCTGTCTCATTTACAGAGGGTTTAATAGAGGTCATTATACAGGTTCTTACAGATTTAGAGGTTTAAGAAGTATATTTTTCAAATAAACATCCGTATGATAATAAAGCTAAACTAAAACTGAAGAAAGAGAAGAAGATAGATTTTTAGGGTTTTCAGGGGCTCGATAATTGCTTTGTTCGCCACGAGATGTCACTACTAATATGATTTGTCGAATAAAAAATAGGTTCGTAAGTAAATAATTCCGTCGATCTCTATCTATAATCATTATTTTATTAACTGACTTCAAAAATGGTGGGGGTTCTGACATTCAACTGTATTTATTTTCTTTTCTTATATTAAATTTTTTTCGAACGTATGCATGCAAAGGAACATGTTGTATTTACTAACCAGTGTCAAAATTCAAATAGAGCGTGTTTTTGACAGTGACGTATAACCTAATAAAGTAGGGGCCTCGTTTTATTTTATTTGAAATGAAATGAACAAGGTTTTTCGGTATTTTCGTCAAAGATATTATAAGTTGATATATTCTGTTCATTGAAAATGGCTGAAGATGACGTTGTGAATGTAAGCGCATCAAATGAGGGCGAAAACCAAAACAATCCTAACAAGCGCAAGTGGCGTAAAAAACGGAAGAATTTCTTGTCCAATGCGAAGAAATATGCTAAAAAGGGTCAAATGGGCCGCGGTACGCAAATGCCCGAGGAATTGTATCAGTACTTTGTCGGTATATTAGAAGCCATAAAAGCGGGAATAGAAGACGAGGAACAAAAACGTAATTGAGTTTTTCTTTATTTAATCAGTCAGTCTTTCACCACTCTCTCACTTAGTTATTTATTTATTTTTTTTTCTATGTGAAAAGTTGCCAAGCGAGCTGACGGTTCACCGGATGTTAAGTGAATACCGCCGCCCATGGACATCTGCTACACCCGAGGGTTGCAGATGCGTTGACAACCTATTGAAGATTGGGCTCTGGTCACCTCACTCACTAGACGAAACGCGAAAGCATTTGTTATACTTCCACTTTACGTCAGCCTTCTGTGAGGTACTTACCCGGACAAGCGTGCCCATTGGTGCAATAGCCGAGGCTGCTGCGTGGCCCTACCACAGTTATTTTTAAAATCATGAAAAACAAACTTATTTCTTATGTGATTAGTAGTAAAATTTGTTTGTTTGTGTTAAGTATCCTAGTAACTATGTGTTGGTTCCGCATCTAACCTATGTTTTTTAAATTTATCGTTAAGATGTAACTCAATTTTTATAGCCACACAAGTTAATTTCTGAAAAATTTATCTTTAAGGTGGTTAATGACATATTATTTATGCAATTTGACATCTTTTATAAACAAAGTGAACTACTAAGTATTACTATTCTCCATTAAATTATCCAGTTCCACATAGATGTCATAAATTAAATGCATGTGCATTATGACGCATAACCAATGTTTTGCCATTTTACTTTTAATTTTTATATATGCAGTGACCCTTCTTGAAAAAAAAAATTTTTTTTCTAACATCTGTATCCATATTATTACCATTCTCAGCTATGAAATTTCATATTCATTAATTCAATAAAATTGCAAATAATAAGTATTTAATTTAACATGCTCAGGCAAAAAGATCATAAAAAAACTTGTATATTTTTAATAAAGAGCAAGAAATAGCAACAAAAAAAAAACATTTGCAAGATATGTGAATTCGGCCAATCCGCAGTAGGGTTGTGTGGTAGACTGATTCCTAATAACCCTAATAAGCAGAGAGACATTTATAGGCTTTTACTTTACTTACTTTTTTTACACTTTACATTTATACATATATAACAATGTTATTGAAATTATCTCTGATAAAATTTTCAGAAGCCCTTGTAAATAATGTCCTGGACAGAACAAAGGGTGAGGAGTTAAATATAGTTGGTAATCAACTTGGATGCCGTGTAATTGAGCTACTACTACCTTATGCAATCCCTGAGGACTTGGAGAGGTACATAGAAGTGCTCACTCCGGATCTACGGAGGCTCTGCGCTGACAATTTTTCAAATCATGTCCTTAAGACAGTTCTCAAAGTATGCTGCAAGAGAGCCACTGAGCACTTACAAACAGAGGAACCAAATGCAGGCTCTGATTCTGACGATGATGAAACGCCAAAAAAGAAGCGAAAAGTGAAGAGTGAATCCCAATCAAAGTACAGCAAAGAGCATATAAAAGTGTGTCACGATTTCACACTTAAAATCTCAAAATACGCTCTGAACAATTTAGAGGATTTTGTGTGGGACACATACGCTAATCACATAGTTCGAGCATCATTGAAATGTCTAAGTGGTATCACTTTACTACCTGGTGAGAAACCCAAAGTGAACTTGTTTAAGGAGCCCGTACTTCAAAATAAAGGAATACCGCCCCACCAGACAAAGATGCAATACAGGGTCATTCCCGAGGACTTCAAAGAGTTGGTTAAGGAGTTTGCAAATCGCTTGTCTCTATGGCCACAATTCAAAGACCTTCCTTACGAGACTATGACATCAGCACTGTTACAAGTATTGCTTTTTGCTGTAAAAAATGTAGACAAGACTTTGACCAGGCATTTATTAAAGAAGCTTCTCAATGAGAGCTTTGCTCCCGATGATTGGGTATCAGATAGTGCTGATAGTAAAAAAGATAAAGACACTGAGGAGAAAAATGAAAATGGTGAAATGGAAATTAATGTGGAGAGTGCTAACTTGCCTCCAGTTTTCAAATCAGAGCCCTCTGTGAGGTAAGCGGTTATTTCTATTGTTTTATTTGTTGTATAAATATATTTGGTTGAAAGTAGAATAATGATTTGTAAGGTGGCAACCAAACGGTTGTTTCACCTTATGTTAAGTGATTATCACAGGTCAAGAATATTCCGAAACTTCTTTGGTGTTTCAAAGCTAAAATAAAGCTGGACTTATTTCTTAACTTAAAAGTATGATTCTAATTCGCGCTGGTCTACTGTGAATTGTGATACTTCCCCGAATTTGCCGCTCCATTTGTACTACAGCCACCACCATGAAGAGTATCATAGTATTTTAACAGTTTTTTGTTTTTCTATACTTAAAAGTTTGGTCCAAATATGCAGTGTTAATTATAGCACAGAAACAACTGTTACAATCTGTTTGTAATATATGGACACATTCCCACCAATACATTTGAGAGTAAATGAGTTCAATTAAATGTGTTAATATAGACAGATAAGATATGTGGAATTTAACATGTGAGTTAGTATTTGTACCTGTGCTTTTAAGGTTGTTAGAAGCTGCCCTCTTTGTTGCCAAAAAGAAGATGTACACACAGATTTACGCCAAGTGCTTCATCAACCGTTTGGGTCAGCTGGCGAACATGCCAATGCTCAATTTCACAGTCCAGAGGCTCATAGATAATTGTCAGATTAAAGAGGAGGTAAGTAATTTCATGTAAATCAACAGTACTACTTACTTCTGGATGTTTTTCTGCTCTAACTATTATTTGTTTTTACAATACCATTATTTAATTTTGATAAATATTGTGTTATAAACATGTAAAACTTTTATTTGTATTTATTTATAAAAGAAAATTATGTTTATCTGTTTCCTGGTACCCATCATTCAAACTTTGCTTAGTTTGGTGCTAGATTAATATGTCTGCGTATTTAGGGAACATTATTTTACACAACTTTATGTAGTCCCAAACTAAGCAAAGCTTGTACTATGGGACTAGAAAACTGATAAACACAATTAAACATACTTTTCTTTTAGAAATAACTACATATTACATATATATCTTGATATGTATGTATTTATAAGATATGTATGTATGTTTATATATATATATATATATATATATATATATATATATATATATTATGTGTATATGTTTATATCTTTGTATTGTATATGGTGTGTTACATAAAATAGTTTTATATAATATCTTGTATATTCTGGAGTTATATCATGTGTAATGCATAAATTATTATTTAAGACACATAAATTTATTATGCAATTTTATTTATTGCACCTACCACGATTTCTCCTCACGCCCCGGGTTGACTGGTAGAGAATGCCAATAGGCATTAAGTCCGCCCTTTGTAACCCTTTTGAGGTGTTTTCAATAAAGAATAAATAAAAAAAAAGCTATAAATAATCCAGACAACAGAAAAACACTATCATCGCACAAAATTTTTATTTAAAGAATAGTGGGAATCGAACCCACATACTCTGGCGCAAGAGACAGGATTACTGTCGGTCGTCAAATTTTTTTTTTATCTTACGAAGTGGCAAATGAGCTGGCTATTCATCTGTGAAATGATAACCAGCGCCCTTGAACATTTGCCACACCCGTAACGTATATTTAAATAAAGTGGGCCCCCGGTCTTGCTCACACCGGACGAAACGTAGGGGTGTAACAGTTCCACTTCACGCCGGTCATCTGGGAAGTTGTGGTACTTGCCTGGACGGACCTGCCCATCTATGCAACAGTGAACGCATGGCCCTACCATAATCATTTCCGTATTTATTAAATTGTTTACACACCCTGCATCCGATATGCATGCGATACAGGATCTCTTTCCTACTATGGATTACGGTTCTCTTACAAAAAAAAAGAAATTAAATCTGTCATTTTCACATACTTTCATTTCACAGTTCATCATTTTTACATCAGTTTTAGAACTTTTCATGATTGCACCATAGTAAGTAAGGAAAGTCAATAATTAAAACTTTATCAAAATTCCAATTTAATCGAGCAATATTTCATTTAGTTAGTGTTGTCATATTTATTATATTTCATTTAGATAGTGGGGCTTACAATATGAACTTATGTTTAGGATATCTTATAATTAACAGTTTGAGCCAATGTTTGAAGAACTGTCCGGAGGCTTTGGAGCGCTGCTGGTATGTGGCAACACCGGTGTCCTAGTGGCCCTGGCGAAGGCTTGTCTCCGTCTGCAGACAAAGCAGGCACAGTATCTCCAGGTACGGACTGTAATATGTCACTGACTATGAATATAGCGGGTTTGACGCACAATAAAATAATTTCCCTTTTAACACTTTTACTAGTAAAGAATACATACAGATCATTTGTTTCATTGATTGGATGATTGATGGATTCAATAAGTTTCGGAATCTTTGAACTGCTTTTGCGATATTACGGTTCCTGTCGGGCCAAAGGCTGTAAGTGTATGCCTTTTCACAATTTTATTGAATAATTTAAAAAAAATAAGCCGCATTTGCATTCAAGCGAAAGTCAACATTCTCTCTGACAAAGGAAATATATCAATTTACTTTAGTATCCATTACTTTTTAATATAACGCCATCTGTAGGTATCTTTCAAAACTCCCACGAGTTGCTAATTTCTCGATAGATGCTGCTTGTCAGCAAGCATGTAACATTTCCCCGGTGTAAATTAGATGGCGAGAACAGATTGGGTGTTTACATTATGTGTATATATGTATATATTTACAAAGTTAGATGGTAGATCCATGCAGCAGCGTCGGCTGTTGCACGAATGGGCAGGCTCGTCCGGGTAAGTACCACGACCTCACAGAAGACCAGCGTAAAGTGGAAGTATAATACTTTCGCGTTTCGTCTGGTGAGTGAGGTAGCCAGAGCCCAATTTTCAAAAGGTTGTCAACGCTTCTGCAACCCTCGGCTGTAGCAGATGTCCATGGGCGGCGGTATTCACTTAACATCAGGTGAACCGTCTGCTCGTTTGGCAACTTTCACATAAAAAAAAATTACAAAGTATGTTTAAGTATGTTTACCAGTTATCTAGCACCCATAGCACAAGCGTTGCTTAGTTGCGGACTAGAGAACGTTAGGCATAATTAACGACATGCAATAATTAACTAACCTAACTTAACCTTAACTAACGTGATTACATACGCGGCCCTACCCAGTGAGGAGGGCCCTAAACCCGTCGGTTCTGGCTAGCCCACCGCTTCTGCGTTCGACGAAGCTTCAATAGTTTCGGAACAGAAAGCTTTTAATATCAGTGAACACAAGATACTAATGACCGCGTGTTACTAATTTCGTGTTTTGTTTCGGTTGCGGTTGCTCTTTGCAGGGACGCAACCGAAAGTAGTTTAATACGGTAGTTTATTATTGTCATGTCCTCAGCCTAGTCGATCTCCAAGTACTAAGTTATTGGCAAAATTACCGATGTATCGGTGGAGCCGTATTAGGAAAAAAAATGTAAAAAAAAAGTAAAGTAACAGCCTATAAATGTCCCACTGCTGGGCAAAAGGGTAAAGAGGGCATCAGGGCATAGTCCACCACGCGACCCCACTGCGGATTGGTGGACTTCACATATTTTCGAAATATTTTTTTTTGTTATTATTTCGAAAATATGCAGGTTTCCTCACGATGTTTTCCTTCACCGCCGACCATGTGATAATGCGGCATATAAAATTAGCAATTTCATTGGTGCTGGCACCGGGGATCGAACTCAGGTTGCCCGAGCGAATGTAATTAAAGCCGAGCGCCCGGACACTGAGCCATCACGACTTGTGAAAAACAATGTGTCCTCGGATATTTATTATTTTATTATGACCTCTCCTTCAGAACCTAGAAGCCGCTCTTCAATGCGGCGACGATGATGGGCAACAGCACTTCGCGGCCTCGTGCTTACGCCTCGTGCCGTATTCCCCAAGTGCCGAAATCCGGGACAACTTCATCCACATCCACGGCTCCGTGATCATGCAGACGATGCTCGACTTCCAGGTCGGTGGAACAGCTGGGGACAGCTGAGCGCTGAAGAGGTGTATTTGTGGTAGCAATCCAGGATTAGGGGAGTAATAGAAGCAACGGCTTAGGAGTGAGCTATACTGGCTTAAATCGACAACCTGTTACGCCTGTTCCTTAAAAGTAACAGTGACAAATACCCGTTACAAAATAACAACCTGTTATTTTATACTATGTTGTGACAATACGTACTGTTACCAAAGTAACAGCCGTTACACTGTTACTCTATGGTAACGTCCGTACTTCTCTTTCTAACAAAGCTATAAGACCGATGCGAGAAAAAGAAAGAGCTTGTAACAGGACAGTGTTCAGTAACAACTGTGACAAGGTGTAACAGTTTTTATCCTTTTCTAACTAAGGTAACAGTCGTAAGCATGAATAAAGAAAAACTTGTGACGGTGTGTTAAGGAGCAATTTGTGTGGAACAGGAACTTTTATTTAAGTTTGTTCGTAACAGGTACAGTGTGTTATCTCGATATACCTGTTATATTTAGCTGTTACGATAATTACGCCTCATTCCTATAACAGCCAACAGATGGGCAAAGGCCCCCTCTGTACAGAGGCTATCGGGACATAGTCCAACAAAAATATCGAACATATGAATTTGAACTCCGGTTGCTCGAGTATATTGAATTAAAAGCAAACGCCAGGACACTGAGCCATCCCGGCTTTTAATTATTTAATATTAATATTAAGCTTTTATAGATGTAACTCGCACTTAGCTGGCTTCTTTACAAACGAGCGCATCTCGCGTCCGCTTATCGTCGGTTTTAGAGGCCCGCCAAGGTGGTGACGAGCCTGTTGTCGATGGACACTGAGCGGCTGGTGGCCACTCTCAGCGACGCCAAGGGCTGTCACCTGGCGGACGCGCTGCGCAAGGGGCGCCAAGTCGGCGCCAAGTCGCGCGACAGGCTCGTCGCCAAGCTCGAGGTTTGATACGTAAATTTACATCTGAATTTCTAGCAGCTGCTCAAGTCCGTTTCCACAGGCCCAACTGCTCAAGTCCGTTTCCACTGGCCCAACTGCTCAAGTCCGTTTCCACTGGCCCAACTGATCAAGTCCGTTTCCACTGGCCCAACTGCTCAAGTCCGTTTCCACTGGCCCAACTGATCAAGTCCGTTTCCACAGGCCCAACTGCTCAAGTCCGTTTCCACTGGCCCAACTGCTCAAGTCCGTTTCCACTGGCCCAACTGATCAAGTCCGTTTCCACTGGCCCAACTGCTCAAGTCCGTTTCCACTGGCCCAACTGATCAAGTCCGTTTCCACTGGCCCAACTGCTCAAGTCCGTTTCCACTGGCCCAACTGATCAAGTCCGTTTCCACTGGCAGAACTGCTCAAGTCCGTTTCCACTGGCCCAACTGATCAAGTCCGTTTCCACTGGCCCAACTGCTCAAGTCCGTTTCCACTGGCCCAACTGCTCAAGTCCGTTTCCACTGGCCCAACTAATTAAATCCGTCTCCACTGGCCCAACTTTCCTCGTTCTTATCATCTTATACATATTTTTTGTAAATTACACAGTTATCAGTTTTCAATAAGAAAACTGCCACCGGTTCACTGAACTAGACCTTACCGGTCAAAAACCGGCAAGAAACTCCGCGAACGTAATGTGTTACAATTATTCTTTTTTAATAACATTAGTTCACAGTTGACGGTTACATCTTCCAGGGCCACGTGCAGCAGCTGGCGCTGTGCCAGTACGGCTCCCGCGCCCTCGAGCAGCTGTTCGAGGGTGCCTCTGCGGAGCGCCAGCTGGCGCTGATGCAGCAGCTGTCGGAGAAGGCGGGCCTGCTGAACGGCTCGCCGTACGGCAGGATCGTGGCCGCCAAGCTGGACGTGGCCACCTTCAAGCGGTCGCCCAAGTCCTGGCAGAAGGCCAGGGCAAGATCGGACAAATAAAGATTCGCTCGCGCTCTCTGTGTTTTATTTCGTCCTCTCTTTGCAAAATGACCCCTTCCCTCAACACAACCCACAAATCTTTCGACTTACTGATTTTAACGGTGGTAGGGCCACGCAGCAGCCTCGGCTGTTGCACGAACGGGCAGGCCCGTCCGAATAAGCACCACGACCTCACAGACCAGCGTAAAGTGGAAGTATGACAAATACTTTCGCGTTTCGTCTGGTGAGTGAGGTGGCCGGAGCCCAATTTTCAAAAGGTTGTCAACGCATCTGCAACCCTCGGGTGTAGCAGATGTCCATGGGCGGCGGTATTCACTTAACATTAGGTGACCCGTCTACTCGTTTGGCAACTTTTGGCATAAAAAAAAAACTCATTTTGCTTTGAGCTGTCAAAATCGGGAAGCGCGGGAAAATTTTTCAAGTGATGTGCGTAAACAAAATCTATTAAAAGTAAGTTAATTAAATAGCCAATTATTTTTGTAAGGTTTATTGAGTAAAGAAAGGTTGGTTAAAATGTTAATTGAACATTATGTGTGGGATAAATGGCCTTGGCATATCCCGTTGAAGGCACTTCGGTTGAGTAGTTTGAAGATCCTATTCCTGCACATTCCCCCATCTTGATGTTTAACTCCAGCTTAGTAATGAAACGTGGAACTGTTGAAGGAGATAAGTATGTTATAACCTTTTCAATCTGTATCAAATCGATAACGTTGGAAGAAACAATGCATAAACTTCTATATGCAGTTATTTTTTGTCAACCGCACTTGTAGATATTTAAGTTTATAATGAATGAAAAATGTATGAAAAAGTTTTATATTGAGCAAAAAACATTTTTGAAGTGAAAATTTCTGAAGGCCTGGATAGGGAGTAAATTCTTGTCGTCATGTGACGTATTAACTACAATGACCGATAACTTAGTATTAAAAAATATAAAATCACGATTGATGCGGTTTTTACCACAAATTACATATACAATCAAGAATTTTTGTTTCATATTTCAGTTACTATAAGTCTATTGTATGGTTTCTACAATAGGTATAATTAAAATATTGACAGTACACCTAAGCTTAAATATTGTGGAAGTGGATGATAGTGATAGAGAATTAAGTGAATTTAATGCAGATATTAGGTGCATATATATATATATAACATTTTTGTTATATACAATATTATTTAAATTAAGTTGTGCAGCCCATTGGGCTGCTTATTATGAATAAGACACATGTGTCTTAATGAAAAATAAACTATATTATGAAAATAAAATTGTTGCTCAGAGTACCGATGGATGTCAATACCCGATAAATATAAGCGATTTTATTTACGTCGATTTTATTTACGTTAATTCGAGATTAAAGATAATTTGGATATTCTGAAATAACAATTGTTTGTTTATACAGTTTTGTGTTTTAACTTCTGTCGGCAGTCAAAATTTTTATTATTTGTATCTTATCCGTCAGACTGTTTGCAGGGCGAACAGGGGACAGATGACGTATACGCGAATTACACTGTAATATTAGAGCAAATTATTTCAAGAGATCGATAGCTGACGGCCTGGCTAATTCGACGCCTTCCAAACGATTGTTAGGTATAGAAAGCTAACCGTTCTTTGCGTATCGAACCCAGGTGTGCGGCTGACCTCCATTGGTCGAGTATTGTGCGGCTGACTGCGACGCGTATTCCGAAACTAGAGGTCACCACCATCGCCAATATAATGAACAGCAACTGTAAAGGGACGTAGCGGTAAATGGCGCAAATTCGACTCACTAGTCTACAATCTTGTGCTGCTTGCTGCAGAGGTCTTTGGATAAATTGTTGAAAGAGTTATATATCCGTCTCTGTAGCTACTGGTGACAAGAGAGCCGGTTTTTTAATACAAGTAATAGTACGAGAGCTAGCTTCGAGCTAGCAGCTAGAGTAGATGAGTTTTGAGATATGCTATCTCCCTTACTCTGCCAGACGTCATACGGGCATATCTAAAAACTGGCCTACCGGAAATTCTCTCGAAAACCTTGCCAGCTCTTAGACTATAAGGGAGAAACGCAGGTAACGTTCTAAGCACCATAATGGGTGGACATATTTGACGGCACTATCATAAGTGATATGTAATCGAAGGCCTGTTTCAAGAATCTCAAATTTAGATCACGTGAAAGAAACTACGGTCAAATGTACGCTCTAATCTGTTCTCATTTCTTTAAAGTGAAACATGATAAATAAAATGAATTCATTATACCGAGTAACAAACGAGCAAAGAGTACTTTTCAATGTAGGTAAATACTGAATTACAATTATTTGATTGTGTACTAATATGTAAGCCAAAACTAGGATGCCGATCTTACTATAATGTATGCGTTCTACGTATATACTGTTGATAAAATATATAGTCTTTAAAATACTATATTTCTTTTACGTGGTAGGGCCACGCAAGTGTTCACGCTGTTGCACAAATGGGCAGGTCCGTCCGGGTGGGCACCACGACCTCACAGAATACCGGCGTAAAGTAGAAGTGTTACACTTCTGCGTTTCGTCTGTTGAATGAGGTAGCCGGGGCCCACTTTATTTTAAGGCGGCGACGCATTTGCAAAAGTCCATGCGGCGGTTATCACTTAACGTCAGGTGAACCGCCAGCTCATTTGCCACTTTATCACATAAAACAAAATTCAGTTTTACCGATTAATCTTTATTTTGCAACACCGAAACACACTTTTGATAAACTCCTCTCTTTTGAATCTAATTTCACAAAAACAATGATTGTAATATATATAATTATATCTGTGTATTTTTTGCATTATCTATAAAACATATTTTGCAACTTTACTATATTTTTATTCCTAGCTTATTGTGAAAAACACTTTAATCTGCCGAGGAGTTGTTAGCAACCCTAGCCAAGATAAAACAAAAAAAAATCGCAACTTAACAAAAACCGCGAACTGCCTAACCCTAAATTATCGTAGGATTAATTGGATAAATTCGTATGTTGATAATTATTTATTATTTCGACACGGACTTACTGTGAATCGCATGTTTCTCACTGTTATGCAATATGGTACAGACTGATAGAAACAAAGCGCTTTATAAGCGGTCTCATTAGTAATCTCCTATCTTGTAGTAAAACCATGTACTATGAAATTTGCAGACCAGTCGGTTACTACTTATATCGAATTCGTAGCCTTTTTTATGTGAATAGATACCAAGCGAGCAGGCGGTTCACCAGATGTTAAGTGTACACCGCCGCCCATGGACATCTGCTACACCCTAGGGTTCCAGGTGCGTTGACAACCTTTTGAAAATTGTGCTCCGGCCACCTCACTCATCAGACGAAACGCGAAAGTATTATACTTCCACCTTACTTCCACCGGTCTTCTTTGAGGTCGTGGTACTCACCCGGACGAGCAAATGAAAATGGATTTGAAGTTACCCTGAAAAGGTACTAAGGCACGTGTCGAGAAAACGAGTCTCCGCCATATAGGCCCGACCTGGACGCTTAATGAATGATAAATGAAAAAAAAAAAAAAAAATGATAGTCGAAGGGCGCTTCGACTATGACTTGCTACATTTGGTCGTTTTATGATTTTCTAAGAACCTCCAGTGTGACCCACGTATACCTCTGGATTTCGCCCGCTGAGTGACGTTATGCGTTACCACCATTTCTAATTTGTGAGTGTCATAGTCTGTGGTCCTTTATAACGATTATAAAAAGTCTTTGAAAAACCGGCCAAGTGCGAGTCGGACTTGCGCACGAAGGGTTTTGTACCATCTATAAAAACGGCAAAGCATCATATCTGTTTTATGGAAGCCCCACTTAAATATTTTTTTATTCTGTTTTTTTAATATTTCTTGCTATAGCGGCAACAGAAATAGATCATCAGCTGTGAAAATTTCTAACACACGGTTCATGAGATACAGCCTGGTTACAGACGGACAGACAAACTGACAGCGGAGGCTTTAATAATAGGGTCCCGTTTTATCCTTTGCGTAAAAAGGTATCGCATGGTTAATGTGATAGTACCCTTTATCATTAGATGTGAACTATTTTGTTCTCTCTTTATTTGATAAACAATGGTAAAAAAAAAGAAAGTTACTCTCGGCGAGTTTCTTTCGCCGGTTCTTCTCAGGCCAGTGGCTTTTCTTTCCGAACTGGTGGTAGCGTTTTGACAACCAATAAGAAAGTTTAATAATGCTTCTATATTACTATATACTAATGCTTCTACTTATATTGAATAAAGATATTTGATTTTGATTTAAGAAAACCATTGATTTTATGCTGTTTTATTTTGGATCCAACAAACAATGCTTACTACAGACACTCATTTGTAAGGGCATTATGACGATTAATAATTAAAAAACAAATTATCTAACAATAAACTATCACTTAGCGTTGTGATAAGGTATGCAGTCTTGATAACGATGTCAAATGAATTTCGAATTAGGTGTATCAAATAGGTATTTACTATCTAGAACTGTATACAAAATTTGTTAGGTACATGTTTATTACAAAGAATTGAATCAACGTAATTTTTTTAGCAGTTAAAGTATTGTAAATAAAGCTTTCAAAAGGTAAGAAAAAAGTAGAATGAATCATTCATGGTTTGTCTTCAAGTTGCCAGAATCTACAGTTCCATTAGCGGCATAACATTTTACCTGAAGCCCTGAAATCACTTACGTCATAAAACTGGGTTATTTTTTTGTTTATTGTGAGTATCAACGAAGAGCGGTCGTCACTACATTCTATTTTATAATAGAAGAAAAATAAACGATTTTGGCGTGTTTCATATACCACGCCAAAATCGTTTATTTTTCTTAATAAATAATTGTTATCTATCAAATTAGGATATTGTTTTGAAGGTCAATTTTTTCAAGCTTGAAAAACGGTGCGCAAGAATGTAAATTTTTAATCGCTCATTTAAAACATTACCCTTACTTGAAGATAACATTATCCTGTGTTGTAGGGACGTTTTACATACATAAATTTGACGCGGACAAACATACAGATGCGAAACAACCATCTGTGGGTCACACAAATGGGATGGCGACAAGCTCGACAGATGTCGACGGTGCCATCCCTTAGGATGTATTTCCGATAGGTGTTCTCGTTTTAATAACCTGATCCTGTATCGCACAGACAAAACCTTCGGTTCCCCAAAGCGGTCACCGAAAGGCAACAATATCTACGAAAGGTTCGTGCAGAGCCTTGTACAACCTCCCGTGGAGCTCTTTCCCTTCAATATAATAAAATAATTCATACCATATAATAATTCATTCCATATAAGAACTGAAGCTTCTTTAAGTCTAAGGACTGAAAGAGTAACATCAAGTATACAAAAAAACAAAAAAAAAATTTACACAATTTTTTTTTTCGATGTTACTTGGTTTTCGACTTTTCTTTTTCGATTTCCTTTTGTTTTGCACTATTTCGATATGACCTAGAAACGTACAATATGAACAATAATACCATACACCCAGCAATTCATTAGTTAGGATTCAACATTTCGCAACTTCAACTTTTTGCGCATTCAACATTTTAGGAATTCAACATTGTGACCCGGATGGGAAATTCAACTTTTTACGACTTCAACATTTTGGGAATCAACATTTTGCGAATTCAACATTTTGCAAATTCAACATTGTGGTCCTGAAGGGATTTAACCCAGGACCTCCGCCGAAGCCTATACCTTGACAACTGCGCCAAAGAGTCATCAAATATAGTCTTTATCTTTATAAATATAATTCTTCTATACGTGTGTATGTCACTGAACTCCTGCTAAACGGCTGATCTGATTTTAATGAAATTTTTGTGTGCCTTCAGGTGGATTCGAGAACGGTTTAGATTAACAATTCGGTCCACATATTTTTTTATTTATTTATAATATCTAGTATATCTATAAAAGCAAAAAAATACGTGAAGCAAATACTTTGTACCCCTTTTTATGAAAATTGCTCGGACGGAGGGGTATGAAATGTCCCACACTAATAGTTTATTACAGAGAAGGTGTGCAGAAGGTGAAGGTGAACGCTAATATTGTTTTTAATTATGCATAAAAAATACATTAAATCAATATAAAAAATATTACACACACTACCATATATTTGACACACACACGCATATATAGTCTTTTGTTTATTGTGTATTGTATTTGAGAATATATTAATATTGTTCAAACTTATAATTTAAATTAATTATGGTTGTACACTCGGCGTCCACTAGTTCTTTGAAATAGTCCTAGGTAATCAAATAAAAAATAAGGGGTTTTGTATCTACTGTTTTTTTTTTAAATTTAGGTCCAATAAATAATCAAATAATTTTAATTATGTATTGTGAACTACAAAGTTTTTCATATTCAAAAGTTCTAATCACTATATTCGGTTGCGGTCAATATATTTCACATGAAACACGTAACTGAATATTATTATTTTCAACTAATTTAATTTTTCATTGTGTTATTTAATGTTCTTTTTAAATGTGTAGATGGAACGTTTGAATGTTTTTTGTCTTGAAACCTTTGAAAAAATCACTGCCACCATCGCAACCTTTCCGGCAGTAACGTAGCAAGGTTCGTCGGAGTATCTTTTATATGTAATTATGCTAAGTTTCATATCACTTGGGCTGATGGTTCCCGAGTTTTAGATGAACATACATAGACACATAAATGCTCTTCTATATTAATAAGAATATTTATTTAAATTTTTTTTTCAAATTCACGGCTTTGTGCTGTTAAAATCTGAACGCGTGAAACATTTTTCAAGTGACGTGTGTAGAATAATATCGATTAAACATTTGAGGTATTTATTAATAGAACATTATTTATTAACATTTATTGAAGTCAAGAAGAGATTGTTAAAGTTATAATTTAACTTGATGAGTGGTTAGTTAATGGGGTTTTGGTATATATTGGCACCTCGCTGGGTTTGCAGATCCCGTTCCTGCACAAATACTCCCCCTCTTCTCGTGCATCTTCAGATTAGTAAGTGTACGAGGAGCTGTAGAAAAAAGATGAGGATATTATGGCCTTGTCAAAACAATTAACTGTGCCACGCAGCAGCCTCGGCTGTTGCACGAATGGGCAGGCTCGTCCAGGTAAGTACCACGACCTCACAGAAGACCAGAAGACCAGCGTGCGTTTCGTCTGGTGAGTGAGTGATCTGTAACCCTCGGGTGTGTCATGTATTCACTTAACATCAGGTGAACCGTCTGCTTTTCATAAAAAAAAAAAAAAAAAAAAAAAGTGAAGTGAGTGTCATGCATCTGCGTTTCGTTTGGTGAGTGATGTAGCCGGGGCCCGCTTCATTAAAAGGTGGCAACGCATCTGCAACCCTACGGGTGTTGCAATTGTGGCGGTTATCACTTAACATCAGCTGAACCGCCAGCTCGCTTGCCACCTTCTCACATAAATTATTATTCCAGAAACTTCGACCGCCTTCCGTACAGTTGTCATTGAGAAGCGTACCGTTTATGGCGTACCGCATTCTGCCCTTCCTGGCTGATACCGGGCGGTCCCTCGACTGACCTCCGATAACGGGGGTACTTGGGACCCCAGGCGTGGGCCCCGAAAGTGGAGCACACCAGCGCCAATATCAGGAAGAACAACTAGAATACAAAAAAAAAGTAAAACAACAGCCTATAATTACGCATATGCCCCACTACTGAGAAAGGTCCTCCTCTATACAGAGGGTATTAGGTATAGTCCACCACGCGACTCCAGCAACCCAGGTTCAAGTCCCGGTGGCACTAATGAAATAGAGAAAGAAGAAGACATAGAAAGAAAGAAAGAAAATACATTTATTTACCAAAAACAAAGGACGCACACAAGAAAAGAGAAAAAAAATAACTGAATTTAACAAAAACATATTAGAAATAAAAAAAAAACTTATAAATAATACAGTAAAGCAGAAGAACATAAATACATAATTAAAATATAAAACCAAATGAAAAATAACTTTAACGAACAAAAAAAAAATTGTACACCCTATTCCGGTAAAATAGGTTAGCAGCTCAGCATCATGCTGTGCCGGAAGTTAAGGCCCCAACACAGCGCTGATTTTCAGTGCTGACCTTCACGCTTCGTAATACTTCCTTTCCTTACTGACCCATACACAGCGAAGTTACTGATAAAAATTATTATTTAACTTATTAAAATTATATAACAAAAGAAAGTGTTTACAATATTAACAATAATTGATGCCATATATTGATATGCTATAGCAAAGTATATAATTGACTTTACACATGTGTGGAGACTTGGTCTGTGGGCCTCAAGCACAACGGAATTTTAAAACATGTCGGTTGTATAAAGGGCCGTTTGTATTGCGACTCAAATTTTAAACAGAATATTCTTAGCACCCCGACGCGTGGATTTTTATATGATTTTTTATTGACCTCACATTTGAATATACTGTCAGAAATGTATATAGGACGTGATTAAGAATTCATTCAATTTAAATATTATATTTGAGGGTATTTCCAAGCGTTTACGAATCTCAAATATCGTATATCATACACTCTGTTCTCAAAGACAACGTCAAAATTGTATTTATCAATATTGGCTTCTTTCTTATTGCTTGGCTAGGCTCTTATTGAATGTCAAAAATTTGTAGCACTATTTGATTTTGTATTTAATTAAAAATTATTCGTTATTTTCAAATCTACTTACCGTTAATTTCATGTCTACAGCTTGTACGTGCTCTGGTAAAGAATGAGAGAATCGAAGCGCCTTTATAGGGGGTCAAGTTAATGATTTTTTTATCTTGTAGAAAGATCATATACCATTAATTTCGGAATTTATCGCATTAGATGTAAATGAAATAGGCGCTCACTATAAATGTAGTTTTAATATAAAAATGGCTCTTTGTTACTTCATAGTTTTTTAGAAGATTATGTATATTTATTTTTTATTCTTTTCTTCCTGTATATATTTTTGTAAGTTATTGTATATGTTTAGATTTATGTATGTCTATTGTATCTTATTTGGTATAAATTAGTATATTATACAAATATACAACATATTCGTTGAGTTTATTTAAATCTTAGTATGTAAGTTTATCATTTACACCACCTACCGTTGTCCAAATTAAAATATTTTTAACCACAAGGTTGTCTGGAAGAGATCGCTCCTTAGCGATAAGACCGCCTTATTGTTTATACCTCTTAAGTTTATAGTTCTGTAACATTTCCCTTTATGTTTTTTTGGTGTTCAATAAAGAATATATAATAATACTAAACTTCTAGAAAACTATGAAAAGTGAAAACTAAATCTATCGCAGTAAAATATTTTTTGAATTAAGAATAAATCTTTCACTAGATATGTGTTAAATGGAAAAAAAAAACTATTTGATGGACGTGGACAGTTCACATTTGAAGACTTAACCACCATAATAACAGCCAAATACAATATTAAACTACACGGTAATAATAAACAATAGCATAATCAACAAGATTTACGCGGCTCTTTATTCCTATTTGTGTCGCCCTGTATCAACGGGAAATGTTAGAATAACTTATGGCAACAATTTGCATCCGACGCGAAATGCTTTGACAACGCAAAAAGCTTGGCCACTCTAAATCAAGTTTGCATGCTGTGACGCTTGCTTACCTCAAAACGTTACCTAAAACGCATTGTCGTAATGCGTTATATGCGTTAATGCGTCGATAAATAATTAGAGAAGAAATGAAGCAAGGAATAAACTAGCACTTAGCGTTATTATCAAGCACATCGCCTTCATAACGACATCAAATAAATTTCGAATTAAGCATATCGGATTCTGTGCCGCAGTCACTACCTTGGTCATGAATGGGTTCGATTCTCACACGGGACAAGTTTTTGGGCGACCCACAGATATTTGTTCCGGATGTGACAATCACTCGTTCTAGCCAAGTTAGTGTTACTAATGAACCTATTAAAACGCCTTTCCATTGAGTCGAAAGCAAGAAGATAGCACTTAGCAGAACCCGTCTAAATTTGACAGCAGTATTTATTTATTTATTTAAAAAGGTACACCAACAGTACATGTATACATATTATAAAAGTTACATTTTTAAAGCACAATTCCTTATACATATACCCATTATAGGCGTACACAACATTGACAGGAGATATTTAATAACAACACAATATTAATCTAAAAAATTGAAAACAATAAAATAATAAAATTCACCAAAACAAAACTAAAAACGTAACTGAGAACAAATGCCTGCTCACAAAAGGCCGGCTAGTTTTCGTTTGAATTTAAACAACGAGTCGTGGAAAATGTCGATGAGATGTCGATGAAAACGAGATGAATATAGAAACATTAGTTTCTATATTCATCTCGTTGTACTGTGCACAACATCTGGTAAGAGGAGAATGGCGTCCAAGGTTAGTTCTTACAGAAGGCAAGGCAAAAGATTTTTTGATAGGATGTCGGGGTATGCGAGCTGGCACTGTCAATTTAACACGTTCCAGGAGTTCACTACATTTTATTTTACCGTTGACAAGCCCGTGCAAAAACACCAAATCATGGTCTCTTCGACGGCAACGCAACGAGTTCATTTTAAAAAAGGCAAGACGATGCCCATATGGTGACCGGTGTGACACGCCCTGCGAAATAAATGCCAGATGCCTAATGAACGCACGCTGAATACCCTCCAAGCGTTGGGAGTGAACAGCATATACAGGGCTCCATGCCACGCTAGCGTACTCTAAGTTACTTCGGACCAAAGCATTGTATAATATTTTATGGGTGCAATTTAAACGGAAACCCGCAGTACTTTGCCTAAGAAAACCTAGCATTTTCGAGGATTTATTTAAAATATTATTAATATGGTAGCATTTATCAACGTTGAGGGTCATAACGTTTGATTCACACCATATGTGAATACTGTTTAAGTCCTCATGGATAAGTTTCATGTCATGGGAAGAATTGACTGCTCTGTAAATTTTTAAATCATCCGCAAATAGGCTGAATTTACAATTTTTTATGTACATCGCTATATCATCGATAAAATATAAGAAACAGTACTGGGCCTAAGCCCTGTGGGACTCCTGACGATGCAAAATATATATCTGACTCAAAACCCCCAACAGCAACAACCTGGGGTCTCATACTGGTACTCGGCAAATTATAGTGAAGCAATTTCTATGTGCGTGATTTACTTTATCAAAAGCATTAAAATCTGTGGATTAATCAGACTTCCACTATCAAACAATTTAGAAAAAAGTAGACAAAATGGAGCGATCTGCGGCCATGCTGGTACTCGGATAGTGAAGTTTTATGTGGCGTGATTAATCAGAGACTCAAACAATTTAGAAAAAGTTTCGGCCGGGTAGTTTTTTTTTTTGTTTCCCCTTTTTTGTATACTGGTACTATTTTTGCTTTTTTCCATTCATCTGGGAACACACCATCTCTGAGCGAACAATTAAAGATCATCGTTAATGGTTGAGATAAAAGAGATCCACAGATCTTTATAAATAGAGGAGGTATTTTATCAGGACCGGCTCCTTTCTGTATGTCTAATCGTTTAATTGCTCTTAAGGTATCATATTCAGAAAATTGAATATTCTATAAAGTAAGTGACAATAAATCCTCAAAGTTATGATATGTTTTTTCAAAATTTGAAGTGAACGTGGAAGCAAAATGTTTGGCGAAAAGAGTGGCCATCTCAGAACCAGATTCTGCAATGGAATCGTTTAATTGCATTTTTGAGGGAAGAGTTGACTGGCTGCCAAGTTTGTCTTTAACGTATTGCCAAAAAGATTTGACGTTACTCGATATTCCATGCTCAATATTTGCCTTATAGTCACTTTAGCACTTGTCAATAAGCTTGTGACATCGACTCCGTAAAAGGTCATGTTCTAATTTATCACGTGGATTACCATATTTCCGATATCTGTTGCGTAGCTTATTTTTCTCGGATAGAAGTTTAATTAGTGTGCGGCTAAACCATTTGGGGTATTTACTATTGGAAGGACGGCGCTTGGGGACAGACCTATCAATAATTAAACTTAGTTCATCATAGAATTTTGTAACCATTTCATTGACGTTGCTACAGCTCGAAAACCTTTCCACCCAATCAAAACACTTCAGGTCCGAGGCAATTTCCTCGTAATTTGCCTTTTAGAAATTGTGGTCAGTTCGTTTCTTAGGCTGTAGATAGGCAAAATTGGTCTTTTGTAACGTTACCAAAAGATTAGGATGTTGACAATCCAGCCTACTCAAGAGTTCTAGAGGCTCCGACACATCAACACCGGGAAAGTTGCTCATAATGAGATCTAAATATCCACCGTCACTGTTTGGCATGTTGTTAAATTGACTAAAGTTATTAAGAGACATGAAATCAACAAGACCGCATCCGAGTGTACTATTATAATTAGATGGATTCATTTGCGCAATCTGTACTCCAATTAATGCATCCTAAATTAAAATCGCCCATAATTAGGACGTTATTAGGTCGGTTCATAACGTTGTCAACATTGTCAAGGAAATACGACAAAGTATCTGATTTAACTGTTGGAGGTAAATATACCGCGCAAATGGCAACATCCGAGGTAATATTGCCAATTTTTATTTGCACCGATACCCATAAATCTTCACAGTTACTTTCCTATCGCTCAACACGAGCGGATGGAATGTTTTGCAATACAGCTATTAATGCTCCTCCGCCATCCATTTTAGTGGATTTTGGAACATACACGATCTCTACGATAAACCTTATATCTAGAATCGAAAATTTCACTGCTAGCCACATCCGGATTCAACCAAGTCTCCGTAAACACTATAAAGTCGTAATTATTTGCCAAGATGTTTTTAACACGTCCGTTGTTTTCGTTCTCAGACCACACACGTTTTGATAGTATATTCCAAAGGGGCCTCATACATGTGTTATCAGGATCTTTGTTGAGTAGAGGTTATCGAATCAAGATTCTCAATACTTCGAATGAGGATGGCTGGGCTGTACTCATTTCTGCGTAAGAAGATGCGTCCATTACGAACCCATACGAATTTGAAATGTTCCTTCTTGGCCTTGAGGAGAGCTGCTGCGTGCAGGGACTTGATAGCTGGTGATAAGTGCTCAGAGACAAACACAGGTTTTGACGGACCCGCCATACCAAGATGTTGGGTTGACAGCTTTTCCTTTGGGTTACTTTTGTTGAGTTTGGCAGTCAACATGGCGTCTCGATGTCGGGGGCTGCGGAACTTAGCAATAACCATCCGAGGCCGGTCACTGTCTTGTTTAGCTTAGCAACTCGTGTTACATGATGAATATCTTCATCTGCAATATGGCAGTCAACGGTTTTTGCTATTTGGGTTAAAATGGTTGACAGATTTTCCGTCTTATGTTCAGGAACGCCATTTATTTCCAAATTCGAGTTTCTCATATTTTGCTCCGCCAGATTGAGTCTTTGGGGCAGAGCTTTGACACTTGATTGCAACGTTTGGTTGTCTTTTTGCAGCCCTGTTATGATAGCTGAATTTTCCTGCAGTTCAGTGCTCATGTCCTCATATTGCCTGTTAAAGTAAGCAATGGACTCACTAAATTCCGTTATGCGCTCATTTATCGTTCAAAGTTGTACAGTTACCAACTTTTTTATCTTTTCTTCGAGCATGCATGACAATTCCTCACTAAGTATTCGCCGCAATGAGTCCTCCGTCACATAACGGTCATCTACTGGAACAGCCTGTGATTGCTGGCGAGCTCTGATGGTAACGTTGCTGGCTTCACATGATGTTTCATCAAGTACGCTGACGTTACTGGGGCCCGGTTGAGTGGATTGGAGTGTTTGGCGCAACGGAGAGTTCGTGTTATCAGTTTTGCTTACTATGACATTCAGGGCATTTCCAGCTGTGTCTCATTTCTTGGTTCATCAGATTAAATCTTTTTAAACCAACATTAGCGCATAAAAGGTCGTATTTAGATGAGCAAGTGGAGCACATCAGAAACTCCCTAGTAGTTATGTTGTGGCGGCATCCAGAGCATTTATTTCCAACCATTGTAAGCAAGGTTTCAAGGTGCGCTTGAAAGTTGTGGAATAAAGCGTCAGCGATAAAAGCGCTGTGCCGTACGTCACGTGCACTGTGCGATGCGTATGTGTGCGCAGATACGAGCCGGCCGCGAGTTGCCTAGGTCAGTGACGACAATTAGCAAACAATTATTTTGAAAATGTTTATAGCTATTACCCACAATCTAGGTGGAATTTCACTTGTCGAATGGTGCTATTACAAAGCTTGCACTTTATGCTATCCAAACGTATATAGCTTCAGGGTAAAACTTTAATCCTTACACTGATTTTGAATAAAAAATTGAGCAGCAAATTAAATACGTGTTGTTACTTAACTGACCGCGCGGGTAGATGATATTTTAAGTTTACTGACCGCGCGGGTAGATGATATTTAAAGCTGATATTTGGGTCAGACTTGAGATTGTTTTATAGGAGAAGGTGGCAGGCGAGCTGGCGGTTCACCTGATGGTAAGTGATATCCGCCGAACATGGACATTTGCAACATTCTCACTCACCAAACGAAAGCAGAAGTATTACTCGTCCATTTCACGCTGGTCTTCTGTGAGGTCGTGGTACTTCTCTGGACGGACTTGCCTAATCGTGCAACAGCAAAGATTGTTGTGTGGCCCTACCTAAGTAAAATGTAGAGTTCAGCCTTAGTTGACACAGGAGCCCTGTATCAAGGTGCCATCCGTGTGTGAGGGACTACGCCTAAAGTATAGGAGTACCGGAAAAGGCGCATCAGAACCGGCTAGCTTCCTTGCAGCTGATTCAATGAAGCGTCCAAAAATGAGGTTTGAGTTTTGAATCTCTTCTATAAGCCCTGAAGCCCCACTTCGGTACTTTCCAATCTACGCCTTTTTTTTTTAAAATGGCATCACCCCATTTAAGAATCGAACCTTTCTACTTACTGCCATTTTGTTTTGAGTTGTCAAAATCGGGAAGCGCGGGAAAAATTTTCAATTAACGTAAGCAGATGGTTCACCTGATGTCAAGTGAATACCACCGCCCATGGACATCTGCTACACCCGAGGGTTTGAAGATGCGTTGACAACCTTTTGAAAATTGGAAGCGCGGGAAAAATTTTCAATTAACGTGCGTAAAACAACAGCGATTATAAATAAGGTAATTAAATTGCCCATTATTTCTGTAAGTTTTTTATTGAAGTAAAGAAAGGTTGGTTAGAAATTGAATTGAACATTATGAGTGGGATAAATGGATAGATGAATGGGTTGTCCCATTGTAGGGTGGCACCTCTGTTCAGAAGCTTGCAGATGCTCCTGTACCACGCTCACTCCCCCATCTTGACGTTTTTCTGCAGCTTATTAAATGTATACGGAACTGTTGACAGAGATGAGTATATTACGTCCTTTTTCATCTATTTCAAATAAATAATGTTCGAAGAAACAGAGGAATTTTTCTTAACGATTTATTTTTTTTATGTGAAAAGTTGCCAAGCGAGCAGATGGTTCACCTGATGTCAAGTGAATACCACCGCCCATGGACATCTGCTACACCCGAGGGTTTGAAGATGCGTTGACAACCTTTTGAAAATTGGGCTCCGGCCGCCTTACTCACCAGACGAAACGTGAAAGTATTATACTTCCACTTTACCACATGTCCTGTAAGTTATTGTTTTTAGATAAACTTTTATATCCGTTTAGTTATATTTTCTCAGTTGTACTTATAATTATTAAAGTTTAGCTTATTCCCCCATTATGTCGGAATTTAACTGATTTTACAAAGTTTTATAATGAGCAAAAACCTTTGGGAGTACTCTTTGAAATAACGTAGAACATTATTATGTGGTCAAATTAACATCTGTTTCAAACTTGAACATAAATTATGAACACGATTCTTAATGCAAATCTAGTCAGCCAGACTGATTGCATGGCGAAGGGCGGACAGATAACATACACGCGAATTACAACTGTGATATTAATGAAAATTATTCTAAGACTTCGATCGGCCGGGCTAACTAGACAGTTTCCAAAAAATTCTCATTAACAGCGCACCGCTCTTTGCGTAGTGAACTCATGCGTGGTGGGTACGTCAAGGGCGGCACCTCTGCCGACCCCCAGTCGGGACGTTTCGGGGGACTGACGGCGACCCGTATCCCGAAAGCACAGGTCATCACCATCGCCAATATCAGGAACAAAAACTGTAAAGGGACAGCTGTAAATGGCGCGAATAATAATAGCTTAGTGTACGCTGTGCTGCTTGCTGCAGAGCTTAGCTTTGTGGGATGTGAATTGGAAAATGATAAATAAAAAAACATTAAACATTTAACCGAATAAAAACAATTAAAGATACTTTTCAAAAACAATGAAATGTAATTTTACACAAATACGTAAAAATTCTACACTTCAATTTTATCGGTTAATGTCTGTGTTGCAACAACAAAACTCACTTTTGATAAATTCCTCCCTTTGAATCTAATTTAACATAAACAAATATTGTAATAAAATAATCTCAAACCGCGAAGTATTTAAATCTAAATTATTGTAAGATTAATTGGATAAATTCGTACGAGCCTATAGGTATATGTTAATAAATAATTATTTATTATTTTGACGGGTACTTACTGTGGATCGCATGTTTGTAGCTGCTACGCAAACTAGTACAGACCGAGAGAGCGAAAGCGCTTTATAAGCGATCTCAGACTCATTAACAGTCGTCTGTCTTGTAGTGACACCATTTAATGTGAAGTTTGCAGACCAGTCGGTTATTTATTAGATAGGGTAGGCGGTAAATGGAATTGAGGTGAAAAGTTCAAAATTTTGTTGCCAGTTCAAAATTTTTATTGTAGACACCAGCGACTGCCCGCGACTACGTCTGCGTAGGATAGGCTGAAGGCTTAACGTTCAGACAGGAAGAGAGATATACATAAAAACATGTGTTAGTTATACTTTGTTTTATCGAGCTAAGAAGGTAGAAATATAAATACTTTTATCAAATCACCGTAGTTTCACCTTGCACAATAATAACACTGGTATAATTACTTATTTTATCACTTTTACACTGAAGAAACACAACTCTAACTATTTAATCTGTGATACCGATTGGGCAGCACTATCGCGTATACTTCTTGTTAACAGCCGGAGAAGAAGACGACACTTCTTTTAGTGTTACCAACAACCTCAATGAATGACTTCGTTTAGTGTTGCCAACACGGCCCTCCCGCACTGTGATGTCCCAGGCACAATGCAAAACGGTAAAATTTCAGCAGCCCACTACTTTTACATAGCAAAGAAAAATAAAAAATTAATGATAGAGAAATATAGATAATAATACCTAAAAAATAAACAATAAGCAGAATTGGCTAATCACTTATAGTTTTCGAGAAAAGACATAATTAAAATTTGTTATTTTCACTAAAGAAAACCGCCATTAATACGCTAATGACATAAATTTTATACAAGTAGTAACTCACGTTTTTACTTTATTGGATGATACAGAGATACAGTATATTTAAAATCAAATCACAAACACATATTTTTTACTTGGCGAGCAGGCATTATCAACAATTTTTAATATTTAAGGTTAAACTTTCAAAATTAAAATCATAACAAAAACAATTCAATAATAACAATAATACTATTGAATACAGATTCACATACATACTACATACCACAGATAATCAATTAATTTAAGTATCGATTAATTATTATGATTTTATATCGATTATTAAATAAATTACAAAATTTTAGTTGTTTAATTAAAATTTTAAAATAAATAAATAATTTATCTTCGTTTATGGCAGGCCTTGGAGATGTCATCAGGACTTGTTATTAATTAAGATAAATTGAGTTCTACATTTATTTATCATAAAATTAGGTAAGGTTCAAAATGAGTCACAGATCCGACACAGTTCACCCCGACTCCATGTGGTCCTGTGGTCCCTACCCCTAGAGTGAACATAAAAAGGCGGAGCCAGAACCTCGCGTCGGAGGTCCTGGGTGGGGCAGGCCGAGTGGGTGAAGTGACACTCAGGGGCGACATAGCGAGTGTTCTGGCGTGCTTCGCCAGAACACACGTGGGAGAGTCAAACTTAATAATGAAGTCATATTTTTTATATTTCTTATATTTTTGATTTTCATTTATTAAAATTACAAAGCTTTTAAAATCTACATCTTTAAATTTTTTTTGTTTTTTTATGTAAAAAAAAATAAGAAATATTCAAAATTTACTACTTCATTGTAAAGTTTGACT